AAAATAACCATTCATTTATTCATCAAATACCATATTTACTAAGTGCTTCTTATATGTTATATGTTAGGCACTGTTCAAGGCACTAGAGATGCAACACTATACAAAACTGCTACAGAGCAGGACCAGGCAGGTCATCTCACAGACACGATGAGAATAGAGAACACAAATATGAGAGGAGAGAGAAATTAAATACTAGGTCTGAAATACTAAAGTAAAAAATACTAAAGTAAAAAAAAGTGTTAGTCACTTAGTCATGTCCGACTCTTTGCAACTCCATGGATTATGGCTGGCCAGGCTCCTCTGTCCATGAAATTTTCCAGGTAAGAATACTAGAATGGGTTGCCATGCCCTTCTCCAGGGGTTCTCCCCAACCCAGGGATCAAACTCAGGTCTCTGGCATTGCAGGCAGATTCTTTACCATCTGAGCCACCTATGTGCTTAAAGAAAGTGAAGTTGTCAGTCATGTCTGACTCTTTGCGACCTCACAGACTGTAGCCTACCAGGCTCCTCTGTCCATGAAATTTTCCAGGCAAGAGTACTAGAGTGGGTTGCCATTTTCTTCTCCAGGGGGTCTTCCCGACCCAGGGATCGAACCCGGGTCTCCCGCCTTGCTGGGAGCCACCTGGGAAGCCCAAGTATTTATGTGCTTAAATACTAGGATGTTTCTAAATGGGAAAAAGATGTTTGGTGTGCCTTGAACTCCTCTTGTCATTGTGGTCAGAACAAACTGCTTTCCCTTCTCAGTTGGTCAGCTCTCTTAGCCTCTTAGATATAACTTTATTATGACCAAACTAACACAAGTCAAATAAATACTACATGCATGAAGATTCCCAGCTGAAGTGTGCAGAGAGCAAAAAGGGAAAGAATGGCTAGTGGGAAGTTCAATTTTATGGCTCCTTTTATCTTTCCAGTGGTTACTATCATATATTATCCATCTCTTGCCAGAAACATCTCCCACTTGGTATTTGTCTGAGTTGTGATTCAATTCCTGAAGGTTCTGCTCTCCTTTCAGGTAGAATCGCTGAAAGGAGACTCCATGTAAATTCCTTTTTGCTACTGATACTTAATCAGGTTTTCTTTATTCATCCAGCAATACTTCTCTACAGACTGTTTGATGGAAAGTATTCTGTGTTTTGTGTAAGCTAGTGGGGAAGAGGATAAGATGGGATGGGGGGCTAGGGAGACTACCAAGAGGCTGCAATATAAATGACAAGAGCTTGGATTAAATGGGCAATTTTCAAAATTTAAAGGAACGTATTAAGTACCAATGTAGAGAAGTACTAGAAGAACTAACAAGTTCAGCAACTGTTTACCTGTGGGAAGTAAAGAAAGACAGACATAACCTAAGACTGCAAGTTTGAAGGTTCCAAAATTTGTGTTGTCACCAACAACAGCCAAGAAATCTGGAAAAAATAGCTTGAAGGAAAAAAGTGAAACTAATATCCTGTCTAAGCAGGATATCACTAGAAGACAGAGGATTCAAGCTTACTTGATAACCTACTGGGCCTGTTGATGTACATGTGAAAGTCATTTTTATATAGAAAACAGATTGAAACCCTATGGGCTAAAAAGGGAATGCAATAAACAACATCAAATGACTGTGTATGATGAGGTAGCACTTTCAAAAGAAGTAATCTGGCTTTGGAACTCTTTCCTTCAGGTAAATGATGCTCTTTACTAAACATTCTCTCCCTTTTAGCAGACCCCTTAGTGAGTGAGAATAATAAACTTAATGAATAAAATTAAAAAACTTTGTTTCCCTGGATTATCTGTAGATAGTAAGTAGGCAGAGCTAGGATTAAGTCCAGATCTGTTTGATTCCAATGCTACTTTTCTTAACTAATAATCTACTTTGCCTCTAAAAGTTACCTAAAAACAAAACATAACAAATAAATAAAAATTGTTTGGCTATCCTAGATCTTTTGCATTTCTATATGAATTAATTTTAGAATCAGCTTAACTTTTTTTTAACCCTACTAGAATTTTGATTTGAATTGTATTGAACCTTTAGATCAATTTGGGGAGAACAGACATATTAATATAAACCCATGAGTCAGGTAAATCTCTCCAGTTACTTAACTCATCTTTAATTCTTCTTAGCACTATTTGCTCTTTTCAGTTTTCAGGACTGTTGTGCCTTTTTTCAGATTTATTCATAAGGACTTCTTATTTTTTATGCTACTGTAAATGCTCTATATTTTTTACATTTCCATTTTCAATTGTTTGGTGCTAGAATGTGGAAATATAAATGATGATTATATATTGATTTTATATCCCACTGTCTTGCTAAACTCAAGTTATCCTACCTAGTAGCTCTTCATCAGTTCCACCAAGTGGAAGAGATGCATGACTTATTGTTGTTTAGTTGCTCAGTCCGACTCTTTGTGACCCCATGGACTGTAGCCTGTTAGGCTCATCTCTCCATGGGATTTCCCAGGCAAGAATACTGGAGTGGGTTGCCATTCCCTTCTCCAGATCTTCCCAACTCAAGGATCAAACCAGCATCTCCTGAATTGCAGGCAGATTCTTTACCACTGAGCCACCTGGGAATCCTCCTAGATGGATGATTATATCAGTTTTATTTCCTCTTTTCCAATCTGAAATTTTTTTTTTCTTTGCTGATTGTACTGGTCAGAACTTCCAATACTGAATAGAAGTGGTAAGAGCAGAAGTCCTTATATTGTTCCTGATCTCAGGGAGAAAGCATGCCATCTTTCATCAGTAGATACAAGGTTATTTTAGGTTTTGTGTAGATACCTTTTCTGACTGAAGAAATATCCTTGCATTCCAAGTTTGCTGAGTTTTTTTTAAATCAGGAATGAATACTGGGTTTTGTCACACGTTTTTTCCTGCATCTATTAAGATGATCATTTTTTCTTTTTTAGTTTAAAATGGTGAATTATACTCATTGATTTTTGAATGTTAAAACCAATCTTACATTCTTGAGATAAACCCAATAATAATACTATCCTTCTTATATATGGTTGGATTTTATTTGATAAAGTTATGTTTAGGATTTTTACATTTATGTTTATGAGGAAGACTGGCCCGAGTTTTCTTGTTATGTCTTTGTAGTGTTTGGGTATCAGGGTAATGCTGGCCTCCAAGAACAAGTGTGGAAGTATTCTCTCCTCTTCACTTTTCCGTAAGAGTTTATATGTAACTGGTATTATTTTTCTTTTTCTAAATGTTTTGGAAGGATTTGTCAGTGAAGCCCTATGGACCAGACGTTTTCTTTGTAGGAATATATACATATATAATGTATTTATTTATTTGGCTGCGTCAGGCTCAGTAGTTTTGGTGTGGGCTTAGCTGCTCTGAGACATGTGGGATCTTACTTCCCCAATGAGGGACTGGACCTCTGTCCCCTGCATTGCAAGGTAGATTCTTAACCACTGGACCACCAGGGAAGTTCCTGTAGGAGTATTTTAAACTAATAATTCAACAGAAAAATGATGATTCAGGTTATCTATTTCTTCTGTTGTATCTATTTCTTCTTGAGTAAGCTTGGTAATTTATATCTTTCAAGGACTTTGGCCATTTCATCTAAATTGCTATTGTTGTTTGCCTAAAGTTGTTCATAATATCCCCTTATCATCCTTTAAGTACCTGTGGAATTTGTTATGATGTCACCTTTCTTATTTCTGATTACCAATCTTCCTGATACATGTCTTATCTCCTCGCCCCAACCCCCCCCACCAGTCTAGCTAAAGGTTTATCAGTTTTACTGACCTTAACGAACCAAGCTTTCATCCCACAGATATTCTCAATTGATTTTTGTTTTCCATTTCAATCTAAATTATTTGAATTTTTTTTTTTTTTTTGCTTCTTTGTGTTTAATTTGCTCTTCTTAAGTTGAGGTCATTGCTTTGAGGGTTTTTTCTTTGGTATATTCTAATACAGGCATTTCATTTATTCAGAATTCGATAATGTGTTTTTATTCTCCTTCAGTTCAAAACTCTTTCTGATTTCACTTTTGAGTCCTTTAATCAATAGACTATATTTGTTTCAAAATATTAGGGATTTTCCAGTTAGCTTTCTGTTACTGATTTCTTATTTAATTCCTTTGTAGCCATAACATAGTTTGCATGATTGGGATCCTTTAAGATATACTGGGACATATTTTATGACCTAAAACAGAGATCAGAAAACTTTTTCTGTAAAGGGTCAGGAAGTAAATATTATAACCTTTGCAGGACAAAAAGCCTGTCAAAAATTTCTTCTGTTTTTCCAAGAAACCTTTCAAAATATGAAAACCATTCTTAGTTCACAGGGCAATATAAAACCAGGCTAGATTTGGCAGTAGGGCAATAGTTTGCTGACCCCTGGCCTAGAATATGCTCACTCTGGGTAAACGTTTCATGTATACTTGAAAGGAAATGTGTATTCTGTTATTTTAAGTGAAATGTTCTAGGAAGTCAATTAGGTAATATTGCTGGATAATGTTATTTAAGTTTATTACATCCTTGCTAGGCTTCAACTTTTTCAAGCAATTATTAAAAGAGGCGTACTGAAATCTCTGACTATAATCATAGATTTTTCTTTTTCTCCTTACAGTACAGTCAGTTTTTGCTTCATATATTGTGAAACTACTGTTATGTGGGGCATAAACATTTAGGATTGTTATGTATTCCTGATTAACTGGCCCATTTATTATCATGAAATGACCTTCATTATCTCGTAATATTTTTCACTTTGAAATCTTACTTTTTTCACTATGTTAATCTAGCCACACCAGTTTTCTTTTGACTAATGTCAGCATCAGCATGGAATTTTCCATCCTTTCATTCTTAACATTGTTGTGGCTTGTATATAAAGTGTTTTGCTTTTATCCAATCTGATATTCTCTGCCTTTTAATGAGGATTTTTAGATCATTTACATTTAATGTGATTATTGGTATGATTAGATTTGTCTATCTCTTGCTGTTTTCTGTTTGTTCTACTTATCCTATGTTCCATTTGTTTATTGTTCCTTTTTTCCTTTTTCTGCCTTTTTTTAGATTGAATTTTTTATGGATCCATTTTTTCTCATTTGTTGGCTTACTATCTAATATTGTTTTTTTTTTATTCTACTGGTTGTTTTAGGGTTTATAGTCTGTATATATAACTTATCAGTCTACTTCCAAGTGATATTACACTACTATATGTACAGCAAATATCATACTTTTATTTTTCCCTTCCTGGACTTTATGCTATTGTTTTCATATATTTTACCTTGTGCATGTTGTAACCCCCATAATATATTGATATTACTTTTTTTAAACAGTTGATTATCTTAAAAGAGAAGTAAATAGAAAAAAATCTTACATAGTTACCTTTTCCAGCGCTCATCATCCCTTTGTGTAAATCTGTATTTCCACCTGGTATCATTTGCCTTCTGTCTGAAGGACTTCTTTAACTTTTCTTGTAGTGTAGTCTGTTGAAATTTCACTCTGTGAATTTTCAGTTTCTGTAACACTCTCAGTTTCAATGTGGGTAAGCATTAATTAATCAATTCCCTGCCATATACCACTATAAATAGCGTTGGCTACACTGTAGGAGAAAGAACTGAAAAGGAATGTATTGTACAACCATGAAATAGCCTAGAACCTTGCCTGTACAAGTCCTTTTAGGCAATGGGAACTTTCAGTATTTCAGGGTGTTAAAAGCTGAATAAACTTGGATCATCTTCTAAAATATCGATTTTACTCAGATTTTGAAAAAAATTATAAGCATTTTATTTATATTAACCATAGGACTATTATGGTATATAATGCACTTTCATTTTAAATTAAAGACAAAATGCAAAACTAAAGAAAATTCTATCTTGGGACCCAGATTTGGGGGCAGTTATTCACTCTCCTCTGCTATTAACCAAACTTTTGTGGAGAAGTCTGAGGAGCAGTGGCTTTGATGATTATTCATGATTTTTTAAAACCTTTCCTAAAATTGGATCTGTCGACAAATGTAGGTTATCCATAGAGATTTTTATTTAATTTGAATATGTATTTCTAAATTGACCACTATATCCTGTTATTCAGCTCATGAATCATTTCTTATTGTACTCATAAAAAGTGTACTTGATTCCAAGTTTTTAAAACACCCATCACTATTCCCATGAAGAAGGACTTTTACTTACCACTTCTCACTTTGGCTGGTCAGTGGGCCTGCATCAGTCAGAACCTGCAACATTGTCCAATTTTCTGATTCCAGTCCAGGATAGAGTAAGAATGCATATAAACAAGCCTGTTAGAAATAGGCCTAAAATAAAGACAGAAAAAGTGTTAGTCGCTCAGTCATGCCTGACTCTTTGCATCCCCATGGACTGTAGCCCACCAGGCTCCTCAGTCCATGAAATTCTCCAGGCAAGAATACTGGAGTGGATAGTCATTCCCATCTCCAGGGGATCTTCCCAATTCAGGGATTGAACCCCAGTCTCCTGTATTGCAGGCAGATTCTTTACCATCTGAGCCACCAGGGAAGCCCAAAAATAAAAAGGCTCCTTGTGAAGACCTACCAGAAAATCCAGTTCTAAGACTGCACCCTAAGGAAATAAGTCAAAAATTTAATTATTTTATTGTTCCTTTTACCAGTAGAGAAAAATTGGCAGGAATCAATAAAAAGACTCCCAAATAAGAAACTGCTTATTTTACAACCTAATATTCTATAGTAGAATACTTATTCAGTCATTAAAGTATATTATAGTTGAATACCTTTTGCTCAGAAATACATATGAGCAACAAACAGGCGTGGAAATTTACTCACTCCATTTACTCCCTTAACACCTGCTTTCTTACCTTATTTTAACCTCAGTTCTCAACTATTCCATTTTCCTTCAAACCACAATCTTTCACATACCTTCACGTCATTTCCTATCCAGCCTAGATTCCCAGGCTCATCAATCTCTCCTGCTTATAACCTTGCTCCCTCTCCCATTCCTTATAGCATGTATTATACTTTTACTTAAACTCACCTATGCATTTATCTTTTATGTTTCCTTTATCAGAAAAAAAAAAAAATCAAAAGTATCAGCCATGAATCTCCATTTCAGTCCCACAATTTAAGTTATACATGTAACCATCTTCGCCTCCTCTCTAATCTCAGAGGAAGAAGTATCCTTCCTTTTCTTTTCCAGCTCAGTTCCTCTACTTACACCGCTGATCCTGTATCAGTATTGAATATCTCTTAAGGTCTTGCTTTACCTTTATCCCTCCTTTTTTTTAAAAATCCCTTCTCTTTTTAATCTCTCCTTTCTGCTGTCTCTCCCCCACATTTTATGTTAAACTCTTTTCACTGTAGAATCTCCTCTATCTTTTAACTTCCTCCCTACAGCTACCATTCTTTAATTCTATTTTGAATAAGAGATGAAAAGTTTTGGAAATTACGTGGCAGTCCAGTGGTTAGGACTCAGCGCTTTCACTGCTGGATCCCTGGGTTTGATCGCTGCTCAGGGAACTAAGATTCCTCAAGCTGCATGGCGTGACCAAAAAAAAGAAAGAGAGCTGAGGAGACTTGGAATAATATAAATTTAATATAACCTCTCTCAATTTCAATATACTTTTCAACTCAACACAAACAGAATTCTGCTACCATCAGTACAACTGAACGTGCACTGCAAACATTCTGGCAAACAATGCTAATAACAAAACTGCCATCATGTTTTTCTATTTATTCCACTCGTGTTTACTGTCTGACCCTCCTGACTTCTTTCCTTCTGAATCTTCTCTCCCATCGGCTTCTCAAGCACAGCTCAGTTGGTGCTCCCTTCCCTTCCTCTGTTATTTCTTATCGGTTCTTTATCTTCCTCCTCCTAATTGCCCATTTACTAATGCTGGTTCTCATTTCCTCTCCATATATTCCATCTCTATGAGCAATGGCATCCCCTGATTTTAACTAACACCTATTTAATGATATCTGCCTTCAGCCCAGGCCTTTCTCCTCAGCCTCAGACACACAGATGCTGAGCTCCCTCATAAACTTCTCCACATGGACACCCCACTGGCACTTAATCTTCCATATTCAGTATGGCTTCACTGAGTTTCTCATTCCCCCCACCTTTCCTAGTTTTCCATTTCACACTTTTACACATACATACATACATACATAGACGCCCCATTCCTCCTCCATTTGTCTCTATTCCAGTAAAACTGTACTGCACAGCCAAACTGGGGACTAGGGAGTCATTCAAGACTCTTATCTCTATTCCAGGCGTAACATCCCAGGGCAAAATCTCATTATTTCCCTCCATGGCTATAAAACTACACAAAAATACTTCCATTTATTTAAAAAATAAAATAAAAGCACATTTTCAAACACTCCCTCTAGTATTTACACTGTGAAACAACAATGATGTTCTTACTAGCAAACCATGAAGGTTTTCTGTTGTTACTTAGTCACTAAGCCGTATCCAACTCTTTACGACCCCGTGGACTGTAGTCCGCCAGGCTCCTCTGTCCATGGGATTTCCCAGGCAAGAACACTGGAGTAGGTTGCCATTTCTTTCTCCAGGGGATCTTCCCAACCCAAGAATCAAATCCAGGTCTCCTACATTGGCAGGCAGATTCTTTACCACTGAGTCATCAGGGAAGCCCTATGAATGTTTATATAGAAACATATATAGCTTGCACTACTTCCAGATACTACAAGCCTTGTTAATACCCCTGTACCTAATGGTGGTTAGCACACAGCAGTTATTGCTTAACTCTCTGTTCATTTTTGAATAAAGTAAATGTGACATATTTGAAATTATCTATAGTAATGATTAAGCTGCATTTTACACAGTTCAATAAATGACAGGACTCACATACTATTTTATAATTAGGGAAGAAATGTTCAAAAGTAAGTTTGCAGATCCACTTTTAAGGGCAAATAAAAGTTATACATAAAGTATCTTTACATCAAGTAATTTAGAAGAAGCCTTGAACTTTATTATAATTAACAACTAAAGCAAAGAAGAACTAAAGAGCCTCTTGATGAAAGTGAAAGAGGAGAGTGAAAAAGCAGGCTTAAAACTCAACATTCAGAAAACTAAGATCATGGCATCCAGTCCCATCACTTCATGGCAAACAGATGGGGAAATAACGGAAACAGTGAGAGACTTTATTTTTTTGGGCTCCAAAATCACTGCAGATGGTAACTGCAGCCATGAAATTAAAAGACACTTGCTCCTTGGAAGAAAAGCTATGACCAACCTAGACAGCATATTGAAAAGGAGAGACATTACTTTGCCGACAAAGGTCCATCCAATCAAAGCTATGGTTTTTCCAGTAGTCATGTATGGATGTGAGAGTTGGACTATAAACAAAGCTGAGTGCCAAAGAATTGATGCTTTTGAACTGTGGTGTTGGAGAAGACTCTTGAGAGTCCCTTGGACTGCAAAGAGATCCAACCAGTACATCCTAAAAGCAATCAGTCCTGAATATTCACTGGAAGGACTGATGCTGAAGCTAAAGCTCCAATTCTTTGGCCACCTGATGTGAAGAACTAGCTCATTTGAAAAGACCGTGATGCTGGGAAAGATTGAAGGCAGGAGGAGAAGGGGACAACAGAGGGTGAGATGGTTGGATGGCATCACCGACTCGATGGACATGAGTTTGAGCAAGCTCTGGGAATTGGTGATGGACAGGGAGGCCTGGTGTGCTGCAGTCCATGGGGTCGCAAGGAGTCAAACACAACTTGAGTAACTGAACTGAAACTGATATGTACTAACATTTTTCACATCTAAGGATTAAACTTTGGGAATCTCAATTTTATATAATAGGAAAGGAAACTGAGTGTAAGTAGAGATAGTGTAAGGACCATTAGATTTAGCTACATGCTATAAGAATTTCTTGTCAGGAAAAGGTTTCCTATCTACTATACTCTATCAGTGGTTTTGCAGTTTATTAGAAGTACTGCAGTTAAGTCACACCAGTTTTGGGTTGTTTTGCCAACAGCATAAACATCTAATTGTAAAAACCCCGTGTTTATAAAAGTACATTCTCCAAAAGGGAAAAAAAATTCTTTGGTTAAGTATATGTGTGCTGCCTCTCTACATGAACAATGAAATGAATTTAATCTTCTGTTTCACTTCAAACATTATTTTTCTTTAAGGGTTTCTTTAAAATTAGCTATGTGGTCTACATATACCATCTAAGTTCACTGGGTCAAAAGTTAACAGTATGGGGTCATCAAGTAAATTAAATGTTAACAGCAAAAATTAAAGGACTTAAATTAAAAACATAGGGCCTAATCCTACGATGAAGAAAAGTAAGGGAAAAGTGTTCCCATAAGAGCTATAAACTGTTCACCTATTTAAAATAAATTACTTCTTCAGAGCTGCCTTAAAAAGTTAATTTGTTTAAAACACGTAAGCATTTCTTTGCCAAAAGAGAACGTGAGGTATTTTATTCTCCTTATTTCCCTATATATTTCTTCTATAAGAAATAATTTTTTACATATTAATAATAGAAATGTAGCATGAAGCCGAACTGGTCACATGGCCTCAAGTCATATCTCCTAGAGCCCAGAGAGTTCCAATTTGACTTCTGTTTACTAGAAATGAGTAAGAAATGAATGTCAGTAGATTCTTTTCCTCCTCACCTTCTAAGAAAAGGTTCTTTCTAAGTCAAGAAAGCCTCTGAGAAAGCCATTAAATGTTTTTTACTCATCGTAAAGTTTGTTTATCGTGTGTTCCTACTCAGTCGTGTCTGACACTTTGCAACCCCGTGGACTGTAGCCCACCAGGTCCCTCTGTCCATGGGAATTTCCAGACAAGAACACTGAAGTGGGTGGCTGTTTCCTCCTCCAGGGGATCTTCCTGACCCAGGGATCGAACCCACATCTCCTGTGTCCCGTACAGTTTTTTTTTACCACTTCACTCAATGTGAAGTTTGTTTATTATGAAATCCCTTCAATTTTCCTTTGACACAGTCAAGAATATATCCATTTTTATTATTTACCAGTCTTTTATATTATTTAAATTGTTCCTTAAACACACACATTTTAATGGCTAGACAAAAAGTTAACCGACGCCTGTGTATTTCAGGCCATATATGGTACATGATCTACCATTTGGGGTGTCACTTTTTGAGATGGGCTCTGTTAAACTGGAGAATAACCAGAAAAGGGAACCAAGAGTATGAAGTGTTTAAAATCATAAGCCACTAAAGAAACTATGGATATTTGGAGAGTAGAGGTTCAGTTGTCCTCATGGTTGAAAATACTAATGGTCATACTTAAAGGGTTATCACATATAGATGGGAATGAATTTGTTCTCAGCAGCTCCAGGGGGCAATTACAAACAGGTGTGCTTTAACTAATAAATTCTATGATTCCAAACATGAATAGGCTAACTTTCCTTTACTAAGAAAATTTAAATTATTTTAAAACAATATTTCAGAACACTATATTTAATATATCATCTAAGGTCAACACTTTCACACTAATTATTTAGAAGGTAGATAACTGAAACAAATGGGTTTATCCCTTTCCAAGTATCCTTATTGTAATGGGTTGGGAGCAGGGTAATTCATACTTCTTTAGTAACTATTACCATTAATAACTGTAAATGAATTTTAATTCAGTCCTACAATCTGTGGCCAAGAATACAGAAGCAAAACAATTTCTCATGTAGGGAAAAATCCTAACAGAATCAGAGTTGAAAATATGTATGCATCTGTCCTAAGCCACTTTCAGAAACTAGTGCTCAAAACCATGCAAAGCAAATTTCCCCAAACAGAAGTATATCTCCTGATCCATGTGTAAATTTTCTCCCATATAACTAACATGGATATACCATAAAAACAAACTACTCTAAAAGAAGCTACTCGAAAAGTAGTTTCTTTTTTTTTTTTTTGCCTTTGATGACTTTTAAAGGGTCCTCCCAAAATATTTATGTATAATAAAGTACTTATAAACTGATACCTAATTAACTAAAGCATATACTTATGAACCATTTAAGTTCCTTCTGAGGAGGATTGTATCATTGTTTTATCAATTTAGTTACGAGGAAAGACTATCAAAGTTACTTCACAGAACAAAGATATTATCAATATCTGAAATAAAAGACACACTTGTACTTTAAAAAGGGAATGTAAATGGGTGAATATGTGGGAAGAACTCATCACATTACCAACAAATTTCAGTGAATGTTGTACAGGTTTATGACTGGAGAACTAGATGCTGTATCTAATGAAACAGCTGTTGTCCATCTTGAGGTCTGACACTTCACAGACCTAAAAAAAGACAAAGAGTACTTTCAATGAATTCGTTAAACAAAGCACAAAAAATTACCTAGATTTGATATTTTTACCAACGTATACAATATTTTTATCAATATATGTGTATATACAAATATATATACACTCATCTGACTAAAGGCTTAATTTAAAATTTCCAGGTAAATATTAAACTTGAAAAATTAAAAGCTCATAGTAGAAACTAAATAGCCATGGATAGATATATGACAACAGATAAGAAACACCTTCAAACCAGCCATTACTCTTAAGTCTTATTCTTTTTTCTTTTTTTATGAACTTTTTATTTTGTATTGAAGTACAGCCAGTTAACGACACTGTGACAGTTTCGAGTGAACAGTGAAGGGACTCAGCCCTACAGATGCATGTATCCATTCTCCCCCACTGCCCCCCATCCAGGCTGCCACATAACACTGAGCCGAGTTCCACGTGCTATACAATAAACCTGAATTCTTTTTGCCTTATTATAATTCTTCTAGTTTACTAGTTATAATATTCCTAACATTTTTTTAGGGGAAAAATCCTAAGCATAGGTATTTTCAGCACAATGTTTTAAATATATGATAATCAAGTACAAAACAGTCTTAAAACAGAACACTTTTTCCATAAAAGATAATCAAAAAACATCAATTTATTTCAATTAGAAAACAGCCTTCAGGATGGACATGTGCACACTACTATATTTCAAATGGATGACCAATGACAACCCACTGTATAGCACAGGGAACTCGACTCAACTCTGCTATGCTTATGGCAGCCTGGATGGGAGGGGAGTTTGGGGAAGGATGGATCGTGTATGGCTGAGTCCCTTCACTGCTCACCTGAACTATCACAGCACTGTTAATTGGCTATACCTCAATACAAAATAAAAGGTTAAAAAGTAAATTTTAAAAAACAGCTTTTAACAATCAATATAGAACAAATATTTAACATTTTATATTCTTACCATTTTAATTTACAGATTATAAGAACACACAGAACATAATAAGACAGTAAAAAAAAGGTAATTCTCAAATTTGTTCAGGTGGCAGAATAACTGGTGCTAAGTACCATTCATTCCCATTAAATCTTTATTAGGAGATACAAGAGACCTGGGTTCGATCCCTGGGTCAGGAAGATCCCCTGGAGTTGGAAATAGCAACCCACTCCAGTATTCCTGCCTGAAAAAATCCATGGACAGAGAAGCCTGGCGGGCTACAATCCATGGGTTTGCAAAGAATTGGACACAACTGAGTGAGTAAGCAGAACTGTGCTGAAGACACAGAACAAAGACAGAGTCTAGGCTGTTATGAAATTCTCAAAACCAGGAATTACATCTCTATGTATGCATATTCACTACCACAGCCACATATCAACACATACGTAAAGTCACTGTTTACATATATTATTCAATATTTTCCTACTGCCGCTTTAACAATTACCATAAATTTAGTGGCTTAAAACAACAGAAATGTATTATTTTACAGTTCCAGAAGTCAGAAGTCCCAAATGGGTCTCAATGGGCTAAAATCAAGGTGTAGACAGAGCCTCTAAGGAAGAACTTGGAGCCTTTCTGGAGCCTCTAAGGAAGAATCTGTTTTCTTGGCTTTTCCAGCTTCTAAAGGTTGCCTTCATCTCTTGGCTTGCAGCCTACTTCTATCTTCAAAGCCAGCAATGGCTGGTTGAGTCTTTCTCCCATCTCAACACCCTGACACTGACTATACTGCTTCCCTCTTCCACATCTGGAAAAACTGTGAAATTATATTGGGTCTACTCGGATCATTCAGGATAATCTATTTTTAGGTCATATGAGTAGCAACCTTAATTCTGTCTGCAACTTGAATACCCCTTGCCACATAATAACATATTCACAGATTCTAGGGATTAAGATGTGAACTTCTTTTGGAGAACCACTATCCTGCCAACCATATAAATGAACCATTTTCCTCTGCTTATCTTCAGGAACTCCACCGACCATTATCTAACCCTAATAAAATTACATGCAAACAGTTCACATGTGCACACAATTCCAGAGACAGGGGGGCCTGCAATTATCAACAAATTCTGAACGTTTAAGAATCACTAGACTAGCTCATAGAATATCCATATTCCACAGAAGGATCGTTTGATAGTATCAACAATGCCAAATTTTAGACTGGCTTTTTAATGTGTATATTTTTAGCTTTGATCAGAAAACCTTGATATGGGTTGAAAGTTTTGTATTTCCCCTCTATGTATTTTTTAAAAGTAGTCCTAATCATCCTAATTATACCTCTACATCTTGCTCTTATAAACAGTTTTCCAGTTGGTATGCATCATTTTGTGATGCTGCTAATAGTAAATCCAGTGAGTTTTCCACAATTTACTTAATAATCTTACTACTATTGGACATTCCAACCCAGTCCCCCCTTTCTGCTACTTAGTACTGTATTTAATATTCTGGGCATCTTTCCTGTATAGATCTTTTCCCGTGGTTCAGATTTATTTCATCTAGACTAGATTCCTGAAATTGGAATTTCTGGCAGAAAAGATGAATATTTCTATCACCCTTTTTATTATTGCTAAATTACTTTTCAAAAGGCCTGCTTTAACTTACATTGCCACCAGCCTTTCCTAACTCATACCATCAATGTGAGGGGTTTTTTTAAATGGCTTTTGTGCACTGAAAAGAATATTCAGAGGTCATTTAAATTCTTATCAAAGTTATGAACTAAAAAACTTAGTTCTTCCTTGACTTTTAAATTCAACTTGAAGCTCTGGTTAGTCTTTGTAAATTTTACCAGCAATCACTTTCAAGGAGGCTTTTAAAGGTCTCTTAAATATTTAGCTTTTAGAATTTTATAACTTCTATAACTTATGCTTTCCTTAAGTACTTAAAGTTGGATTAATAAACAAAACCTCTCCAAGAACTTATTTAAAAAAGAAAAACAAGAAAAACCTGTATTTGTTTTTCTTCTTTCGCTGTGTATTTGTTAAAGGGTTAATAAGAGGTCTATAAGAAAAACAGAAGTTAACAAATCTTATAGACCTCTTATTAACCCTTTATCTGCTTTATATGTTAAAAAATATTTTTTGATTTGTCATGTGTCTTTACCATTTATAGCAAAATTTATCCCGTGTATATACATTTTTTGTGTAGCTAACAATGTTCTCCAAGATTCTGTGTTGAACCCTAATCATTCTACATACCTCCTGCAGTGATCTCATTCAATCCCACAGTTTAAACCAACGTCTACAACTACAATTAGTCAAGTTGTATTAAATAGATAAAATTCTAGTAAATCTATAGATAACAGCGCACACCAGAACTTCCCCTAAAGTTCCAGACTTCCAAATCAAAACACCAATCCTAATATCCAGTTATCTCTCCAGAGGATGGGAGGATTGTACTTAACCCAAAGGCATATAAAAATCAACATTTCACATCAAAATCCATCAAACCTGTTCTGTGTTTCCCTATCTCAGGAAATGGTACACCAGAAACCAAGGAGTCCTACTACATGCTTCCTTCTCTTTCTTCTCCATATACAAAGACTCCTAAACCTCTTTAGTCTTAGCTTCAACTTTCTCCATCCTAGCTTACTCTGCTTTAACCGTATGGGCACTGAATTTACTGGTCCTTTGGCACAGGACATGAACATGTGCTCCTCTCTTGCCTAGAGTGGCCTTCTATCTTTTTGACCTACCTAATTCCTAAGTCTCAGTTTAACTGTCCCTCCTTGGAAAGTGTTAGTTGCTCAGTTGTGTCTGACTCTTTGCAACCCCATGAACTGTAGCCCACCAGGCTTCTCTGTCCGTGGAATTCTCCAGGCAAGAATACTGGAGTGGGTTGCCATTCCCCTCTCCAGGGGATCTTCCTGACCCAGGGATCGAACCCCAGTCTCCTGCATTGCAGGCAGATTCTTAACCATCTGAGTCACTAGGGAACCACCCCACCGCCCTTAGAAAGGCCTTAGAAAAGCCTTATTTAAATCTCCAGTGGTAAGTCCCCATTGTGTATGCTTTCATAGCATCCTGTACTTATCACAATGGTAATTTGTATGATTATTAACTTAATCCTCATTTCTCTTAGTAGACTACACCACAGAGAGAGGAACTGTGGCTGTTTTTCTCACCCCTAGATGCTCAGGACCTTAAACAATACATAACAGTGTTAAGTCGCTCAGTCGTGTCCAACTCGTTGTGACCCCATGGACTCTTGCCCACCGGGCTCCTCTGTTCATGGGATTCTGCAGGCAAGAACACTGGAGTGGGTGGTCATTCCCTTCTCTGAGGGATCTTCATGACCCAGGGATCAAACCCGGGTCTCCTGCACTGCAGGTGGAATCTTTACTGACTGAGCCACCAAGGAAGCCATTTCCTTCTCCACATAACACAGAGTAGATGCTAAACAGTCACCTGTAAATAGTTACACATTAAAACTGAAGAAGTAAATTCAATTTTGTTTATACTTCATTTCACCATCATTTCTAATCTGCGCTCCAAGTATTTTTTATCTCTTGCCTGGATACTATTGATACCATAGCCTCTGCAGGACTTTCTATCACTGCTCTTATACTTTCTAATCTGTTCTCCAGTACCCTTGTTAAAGTGAATCTCTAAAATATAAATCTGATATTACTCATTGGTTTCAGATTTTTCAATTGCATCAATATAAAAGTGACATGTAAGGCCCTTCATGGTTAAACCTCTATCCACTTGATCAGGCTAATTTCCCAACTCCTCCAAAGGCGTCTAGACCACAAATCACACAAACTACCTGAATCTTCTTGACCTTGCCAGGTTCCTTCTGACTCTTGTTTTCTTAACATTCCAATGATTCTGCTCAAAATGCTTTGAAAGGCCTATTTCTGCTCTCTCTCTTACACCGGGACAATTCCAATCGTTTAAGTCTTCACCAAGAAGATACCCTTCAAGACACAGCTCAATCACCACCTCCTAGAAAGCTTTCCTGAGCCACCTATTCCTAACCTGGGTAAAATGTTCTTCTTGTATACTTC